TATGTATAGTATCATATCATCTGCAAACAGGGACAGTTTAACTTCTTCATTACCAATTTGGATGCCCTTTATTTCTTTTTCTTGCCTTATTGCTGTAGCTAGAACTTCCAGCGCAATGTTAAATAGGAGTGGTAATAAAGGGCATCGTTAGCATAGCAAGGATTTTGAGGATGGCGCAGGGCAGAGCAGTGTTTTGTTCTGTTGTACATAGGGTCGCTGAGAGTGGGAACAGACTCGACGGCACCTAACAACAACAGCGTCCTAAACTGTAAGTAAATTTCTGTTTGTTAAAGCCACTCACTTGTGCTATTTCTGTTATAGCAGCACTAAGAAACTAAGAGTCCAAAGAGGTATCCTCAGGAAGGAGCAAAAATGAGAAAACATAATGAAGACACAATTTCAGAATCACTTCTGCCCTTCTTTCATTGTACACAACACATTCACATGGTCTGAAATATAAGAGAAACTGGGATGTTCTGTCCTCCAGAGTGTCCAAAAAGAGACAGTGGGATTGGTGAGCACTCAGTTGCTAGCACAATCCACTGATTTGCTCATAAATACCCATTTTATTATTTACCTTTATATTCTGCACTCTCATTTCCTCCTTAATGTGACAACCCCAAACCCATCCATTCTCTGACCACATCTAAATGTTAGAATCTCACGGAAATGTATTGTTATGCATCCAGCCCAGATTTTGTTCCTCTGAGACCAGGAAGCTCTAAACAAAAAGAAAAATTCCTGACATAGAATTGCAAGTCAGGAACATAATGGAAGCGCATATTCAAATTGCTAAAAAACAAACAACAACAAACCTGTCATTCTAGATTTTTATTCGTAGCAAAATTGTTTTCCAAGAACAATGTGAAATAAGACTAAGGGCGAAAATGAGAATTTTAAAGGAAAAATAACCCATACAAAATGACACTCTATATATTTGAGGGCAAAGTAAAGTGATCCCAGTTGAAAGGTTTGCAGTGACAGAAGGAATGAGAATCCGAGAAAGAAGTGTGTTTGTGCAT